ATATATATATAATTAGAGATTCTTAGAAATAAAATAATCTTACCGAAACGTTCTTAATGGTAATTCTTGAAAACCACCGTCAATGTAATGACCACTAAATTCGAAATCGTCCATTGCTTTAATTTTAGTAATTCCGGGTGAAAGAAACACGGACTAATATTACCACAAAAAATTTATCATTTTCACAATATTTTATAATTTATAAAATTTTATTTCGCGATCTCAAGCGATTCCTCCGCTTCAGTTCAGCGACAGATAAAATCACGATCTGAGAAATCGTATATTGCTGAACGCGCTTAAATGATAGACAATAACGACGTCCGACCTAATCAATTGCGATAGGTCAATAAATTGCGGTGTACGATATTGCATCGATAAAGTTGTTGCACGATGATCACTATGCCTTCTATAGAAAACAATTTCTAAGTGCACATTGGTATCGTTTGCAAGTTGTCATATTTACGCATTCGTTCGAGTTCAAATGACGCGTATTAGTGTTATGTTACGTTTATGTTTCTACAGACGACCGAGTGATTAAAGATGTCGAAAGAAATTCTTGCGTTACATATTTGTGTAAAAAGAATATTATTATTAGAAAAATAACTTGTAAAAAGATTTATCAATTTGTTGACACATTCTACATTTTTTTATTCTTTTTAAGAATTAAACTAATAATGTAAAGATATTTCCTACCGTGTTTGAGAATGTTCTAATTTCACTGCAGCTGCAACAGCGGCATTCAAGTACTTTGATTTTTCAAGTCTCGTGGATGCTGATATAGCAGCACGTTTCTGTAAAATAGTGGATATCTTGTATTGTTGTGATAATTATTAGGAAAGAAAATTAAAACTACTTCCAATTACATAAAATTAAACAGCAAATAAATATTTGATTATATATATTTATCAAATATTTGATAAATATTTGATAAACAGCTAAAACAATATTTGATTATAAAATTACAGTTGACAATAGTTATTATTCAACATAGCATAGAAACGCACAGAGATTTTCAAAATTTATAATTATATTTAAGAAATAGATAAACTT